ATAGGAAACATCTTTGCGCCAAAAAATAGTCTAAAAGCCCAAGTAAAGGCCCATCTAAACGAAAACCAACAGCACAAAAAACCTATACTCAAGGATCAGTGTGTTGTGCCTTGAAGAAAAAGAACCACTATGTTTCTTGAAATGTCGGATGCTTTAGCCCATTAGATATTATAAACTTGTAGTGATATGGTATAGCTGAAATTACATTTTTTTTTTGTGTGTTTCATATAGGGATGGGCATGGGTCGGGTTGGGTTTTTGGTCTACTCGACCCGAACCGAGAGCAAGAGAGTCTTCACCCGAGACCCGATCTGACCCGACCAAAACAAGTTTTCACCGACCCGAATATATAACATACAAAACCCGACCCGACCTGACCCGAAATAATAAAAAAATTATTTTTATTCAATAAAAACAATGACTTAATTGAAAAAAATTATATATAGAGAGGTATTATTGTAATTATCCATAAATATATAAGATAAAATTATATATTTTTTCGGGTCGGGTCAGATTTTTCTCACCCTAAACCCGACCCGACCCAACCAAAATACCACATAAAAAACCCCGATCGACCCGACCCAAATTTTTTTAAGAAAAATCCTATCAGATTGGGTCGGATCGGGTTTAAATGCCCACCCCCGGTTTCAGATTCATTTTTATAATGTGCTTAGTTGTTGGATCCATGAATCTTCTTCGGTTTAAGGCAGATTCCCAACGTTACTCCTCGTCTTTTCATTTACTTTAGTTCAAAATTTTAATTAATTTATAATTTTACGTTAAATCTTTTAAAATTTTATAAATTAAATTAATAATAATTATCGTCAATTATATTCAACAGCACTCATCGAACTTTCTTACCTGTTTTATTATTTACTTATGGATAGATATTAGACGTTATTATTATTTCTGAAAAAATGGGACTAAATCCTTGGTGTTAGAAATAGGGATGGACATGGGTCGGGTAGGATATTTGGTCCACCTGACCCAAGAATAAGAGAGTCTCCACCCCAGACTCGATCTGATCTGAACTCGACCCGATATATAACTTAGAAATTCGATCTACCCGAAATAATAAAAAAATATTATTTTTATTCAATAAAAACAATGATTTAATTGAAAAAATTTATATATAAAGGGATATTATTATAATTATTCATAAATATATAAAATAAAATTATATTTTTTTCGGGTAAAATAATTTTCACCCTAAATCTTGACCCGACCCAACTCGACCCAAATAACACACTTAAAAATTCGACCTGATCGAATCAAAACCTGTCGACTGAATTTAGAAACTTCATCAGATGAACTGTCTGATACTCTCGAATCACGTGGGTCCCCTTCCCTCCAACGACATGGTCCCACCCCTCCCCTTCTTTACTACTACTATTATTTTGTCATCACTCGTAACACTGCTTTCCACTTTCACGCGCCACCCTTTTCTGTCCCGCTTCCCCACGTTTCATCATCATCGATCCTGATCCGACGCTCTTAATTATATATTCCTTTGATTAAACCCAGTACTCGCCTGCACTGTATAATCTCCCCCAACAACAAAAAAAAAAAGCAGAGAGTGAGTCTCCTTGCTTATCGTTTTCATCGTTCCTTGTCTATTTATTTTTAATTGATTTTTCCAGAGAAGAAAAAGCGTAATCCTCGTGAGCCTATCCTTGGTTCTTTCCATCCCATCTTTTCTTTCCCCTCTTAACATTATTATTAATCCTCTACAACGCACTCCAACGCCACCCCGTTCCTCCACATCTTCTCCTTCACCGCTGTTGTTGGTACAATCAAGAAATGACGTCAGATGGAGCGACGTCGACGCCGGCGCCGTTGCCGAGGAGGAAGCCATCTTGGAGGGAGAGAGAGAACAACAGGAGAAGGGAGAGGAGGAGACGAGCTATTGCTGCCAAGATATATACTGGGCTTAGAGCTCAAGGAAATTTCAATTTGCCCAAGCACTGTGATAACAATGAGGTCCTCAAAGCACTTTGTGCCGAGGCTGGTTGGGTCGTTGAAGAAGATGGCACCACTTATCGAATGGTGTCTAATTTACCCATCTCGTACTTCTTTTCGTTTTTTACATAATGGTAGATCTGTTCAAACAAGATGCAACTTTTTGTTTTTCATTCTCTGCTCTCTTTTCTTTGCTCTAATTTAGTTGGATCTTGTTCCCATCTTGATTTTACTTTGGCTGTGGTTTCTGGTTTAAATTTATATTCTTTTAAAATGATCTGCTTTATTTCATTTTGATGTTGCTTCTGTTTGTTTGCTTGGAATATTGGGGGGAAATAAAAGATCGTCGTTTATGGAAAGAGCAGTTGCTAATTAGACAAAAATCTATCGATCTGTGCTGGAACTGAAACTTTATTAACTGGACTTTGAAGTTTGAACAACTTTTCTTGACTAGCTGTTCATTGCCATTTTTTGCTGTATAATGTTTTTGAGCCTTGATCATGGAACATTCTATGCTGATAAATTTTTTTGGGGGTTTTAATTGGATTTGTTGTTCAGGGATGTAAGCCACCTCCAATTGATATACCAGGCTGTTCAGCTAAAATTACCCCATATTCTTCCCAGAATCCAAGTCCATTATCTTCTGCATTTCCAAGTCCAATTCCTTCCTGTCAAGTCAGTCCTTCCTCCTCTTCCTTCCCTAGTCCCACTAGAACTGATGCAAATAACCCATCCAGTCTTCTTCCATTCCTTCGAAGCGCCATTCCTTCTTCTCTGCCTCCTCTCAGAATCTCAAACAGTGCCCCTGTGACACCGCCACTATCATCGCCAACCTCAAGAAATCCTAAGCCAATTCCCAACTGGGAGGCCATTGCAAAACAGTCCATGGCTTCTTTTAGCTACCCTTTTTATGCAGTATCTGCTCCAGCCAGTCCAACCCATCGTCAGTTTCATGCCCCTGCCACTATACCCGAATGCGATGAATCTGATACGTCCACAGTTGACTCTGGTCAGTGGATAAGCTTTCAAAAGTTTGCACCTTCTACATCACAAGTGCCTACATCGCCAACATTTAATCTTGTCAAACCTTTGGCTCCACAAAGTGTGCCCAACAATTTGATCGGGGAGAAAGGGCGAGTTTCAGAGTTTCAGTTTGAGAGAGGACAGGTAAAGCCGTGGGAAGGAGAGAGGATTCATGAAGTAGGATTGGATGATCTGGAGCTCACACTTGGAAGCGGGAAGGCTCGGTGTTAAAATGGCTGGCAGACGACTGATGCCATGAAAGTATGTTACAACAGTGGGAAAAGCCGTTTTGCCTTCCTCACTCTCAGTTCTCAGTCAGATAATGGAGAGCATTTTCAGTTCTGTTTTTTTCATCCACTCAATGAAATCTGGAAATCATAGAAGAAAGGTGGGAGAAGAGTTGCGTGGTCGTCTGTAATGTTTCGATTCCGGGTCTATTTCAGTCAGTTGATACTCGTATTCCCTGGTTGAATCCTCAGGGAGTCGGGTTGTTTTTACAAGCATTAGTTGTAGATACTGTGGCATATTTCTGGTTGTGGCAGAGTTGCTTGCCTAGTCTTTCCTTTTAGGCCTTTGTAGTCTTGGGTAAAACCGCAGAGAATGATATTGTTGTTAATGCCTAATGGTTGTATTGAATCATTTGATCTTTGCTGGTAAGCAATTTTCGACATTCAGTGCTGTGATTTCATTCTCTTTACGTGGCGATCACCTAGCCAAGAAACAAATGGAATAGTATCAACTGATTAAAGACTAATAAAATTTTGTTTCTTTTAAAATCTTCAGATTTAGCGTTTATTATCATACTATTTAATAACATAAATTCGTAATGATATATTTTAATTTTCAATTTATATTCGATTCGTGCAATTGCTAGGTAGTTTAATACTATTTCATATCACCATTTTAACTGCCAAATTCAAAAATTTACTAACATTAAAGAATTCAAATATAATTCTTCCTTTCCTCCTTGTTTTTGATTTTTTTTTTAAGGAAACGAACAGTATCTTAGCGCAGGCGTGTAAGCTTAAGAACAAATCACTCGATCAAAACGACAACTTTTTATTAATTCCTAAAACAGTTCATAACGAAACTACCTGCCACATAAGATCCTTGAGCTCAAGGATCAAATGACGGAAATTGTTATTGCAGTTGATACAAAACTTCCCAAGTAACATCTTCAGGAAAAGAATTAGTCCATTCTACCAGCACTTCTGTCACAGCCCTATTACCCCTTTTGACCATTCTTCGTTCCAGAATTCGTAGTGGTTCTTTACTAATAACTCCATCAGATCCAATCACTGGAAGCTCCTGCTGATAAACCTCCGTACCAATGTGCATTTTCAATTGAGACACATGAAAACATGATGCATTTTGGAACCATCGGGTAGCTGCAGCGTATAAGCCATATTTCCCACTTTTTTAACAATTAAAAGTGGCTCGAACCACTTAGGAGTCAATTTTTGACGGCCCCTAACTTGTACAGTTTGTTGCCTATAAGGTTGTAACTTGAGATAAACCCAATCTCCAATATTAAAATTCACGATCAGTCCTCTTTTTATCAGCCTGATTCTTCATCCTTTGTTGAGCACGTTGTAAGTAAAATCTAAGCATCCTAATGGCCGCTTCCCTTTATTGTAAACTCCTGTCCACAGATGCTACCACAGGTTCTCCAGCCATATAAGGCAAATGCACAGGAGGCACTTGACCATACAAAGCCTGGTAAGGTGTCATTTTAATGGCCGAATGGTAGGAAGTATTGTACTACAATTCTGCCAAATGAAACCAGTCACACCAGTCTTTTGGTTTCTCCCCCGTCATACATATTAAATACGTTTCTAAACACCTATTCACTCCCTCCGTTTGTCCATCTGTCTCCGACTTCTTAAACAACTCTCTCTAAAAGGTACTCATAAATACCTTGTCCCTATCACAAACAATATTCTCAGGTAACCCATGCAACTTAAAAACATTTTCTAAAAATAGTTGAGCAACAGTCATGGCCGAATAAGGATGTGAGAGTGCTATGAAATGTTCATACTTGCTCAACCTGTCAACCACCACCATTATGATTTCCTTTGCCTTGGACACAGGTAGTCCCTCTATGAAATCAATGCAAATAGAAGACCATACAGTGACTGGTATGGGAAGAGATTGTAGTAATCACCCATGATGTTGATGGTCATCTTTAATGATTTGGTGTACAGTACATTCTCTCACCATTTTCTTAATATCTTTCTTTAACCCTTTCCAATACAACGTTCCAGATATTTTTTTACTCGTACTGTGAATCCCTGAATGTCCTCTAGCAGCACTCCCATGAAACCAGCTCATCAAATCTTTCCTAAGCTCCATATCATTACCCACTACCAACTTTCCTTTCCTTTTTAATTGTCACACATCCCATGTATATTAGGAATGATGTGTATTTCCTCTCTCTAACTCTTTAACGATGTGTCTCATCATCCTTTTGTCAAGATTCCAACACCCTTGTTAACAATTTAGTAGTCACACTACTAACCAACATGTTCTGACAACTCATAAATTCTGGATTTCTTGATAAGACATCTGCTATTGTATTGCTAACTCCTCTGCAACTCACTTCATAGTCATAACCCATCATTTTAGCTACCCAAATCTGCTGTGAAGGAGTAGTAGTTTGATTTCCAGCAAGAAATCTCAAACTCTGATCATTAGTTCTGATTTTTAAAATGTCTCCCTACTAGGTAAGGCAATTATTTTTTAACAACCATTAAAACTTCTAACATTTCTTTGTCGTAAATGGACAGTCATTGATGCCTCACTCCTAAAGCTTTACTAAAAGAAGCTAAAGGTTTCCCTCTCTGGATCAACACAACTCCCACTCCTACTGAAGTGGCATCTGTCTCCACTATGAATTTTGCCTCAAAATTCGGCAGACTCAAAACTGGTGTAGAGCTAACTGCTTCCTTAAGCCTTTTAAATGCTAAATTGGCCTCATCAGACCATTTCCAAGCCCCTTTCTTCAGCAAATCAATGAAAAGTTTAGCAATCCCTCCATACCATTTAATGAATCTCCTATAGTAGCCCTCTTAACTCCTTGACACATTTTGGAATTGGCCATTCCAAGATACACTGTACCTTGGCCCTATCCATAGAAAGATATTCCTTCTGAAATCATATATCCCAAATATCCAACTTATGTTCCTCCAAAATTGTACTTTCTTTTTGTTGCAAACAATTTTTGTTCTTTCAATATGTCCAACACTTCCTTAAGTGCACCAAGTGAGATTCCAAATCAGTGGAGTAAATCAGTATATCGTCAAATAGTACTAATACTGACTGCCTCAATAATTTCTTAAAAACCTTGTTCATCAACCCCTAAAATGTAGCTGGGGCATTAGTGAGCCCATAGGGCATCACTAAAAATTCAGTGACCCTCATGAGTTCAAAAGGATGTTTTATGGATGTCTGGTTCCCACATCCTAATTTGATGATATCCCGATCTTAAATCCAGCTTTGAAAAATAACGAGCAGACCCCAACTCATCCAAAAGCTCCTCAATAATTCACACACATTCTCCATGATTCGTCTTTGTTTTTAACCATGACCATAGGAGAAGCAAAAAAACTGTTGTTGTCCCTTATAATTCCACCTTACAACATCTCTTTAATTAATTTTTTAATTTCTTCTTTTTGACTAACGGGGTATCTATATAGCTTCACTCTAACCATTGCCCCTTCATCCTTTAAATAATTTATGTTCCTGTCCTCTCTTAGGAGGTAAACCCTTAGGTTCATCAAGCACATACAATAAATTCTTGAGTACCTCTTGTACTTCTTTGGGGTCAAGTTCCGTTGTCGCCTTCACCTCCCATTGAGCATTCGACAACCAAAGGGATGCATTGATAGTTCCATGAGCCCCTTTTAAAATCTTATGATAAGATTTTGGTTCCACCCATTGTAAAGGTTCAAGGTGAATTCTCCTAAAAAATACCAATCAACTTCCTCGCAAAAACTGCATGGCAAGAGCAGAAAAATCCCATTTAATGGACCCCAAGGTGTCTAGCCATTGAATCCCTAAGACTAAGTCACTTCTCTGCACACTCCTTGTGTCTCTAAATCACCTCCATCAACAATCTTGACTTTCAAGTTACACCTCTTGTCCACTGTGAGTCCCACATTTTTTACCACCATAGAACTGATGAAATTATGAGTACTGCCTGAATCAATCAAAGCCACCAATATCAGCCCACCAATTTGAACTTTGAGCTTCATGGTATTGTAACTAGTTAACCCTCGCATAGCCTAGAATGATACAAGAAGGTTCCGCAGAATCTAAACTTTCTTGAAACAACTGCTCCTTACCTGCCTCCCACTCCACACCTCCCTCTAGAGTATGGTCGTCCTCTACACCTTCCAACAATAATTGGTACAGTTAAGACCTAGTGCATTTGCGGCCTGGATCATACTTGTCTGCACACAAAAAACACAACCCCTTCCTTCTCTTGTCCTTAATTTCCACAGAAGAAGGTATTTTACCCTTGGCCTTCGAATTATGAATCTCTAATGGTTTAGAAGAACCTTGAGCCAAGACACCAGACACAGGTTGTCTACTATTGGGTAAAATTCCACTAAAACCTCGCCCACATCAATTCCACGTACTGTGCCCAATTCACACGATCCTCGCCACTGTTGTTTCAACACAAACTGATGACAAACAAGAGCCTTCCCAACGAGATTCAACATCACAAAACGAATCCGTGTTGTTTCTTGTACTACTTCAGCTTCCAAGAATTGCTCCAACTTAGACCACCAACCTCGGAAATCTTCTCCATCAAAACGCGGACATCTGAGCTTGTCAGCAATATTACCCGACTCAACTGAATATCCCCTTGCAGTCTCATCCGACTCCCCGCTTGTTCTACTGTGCCCCAAAATTCCCTTTGAAAACTCAGTTGTGATCTCTGAGCTTTTCGTTTTGTTCAACCCTTCCAAGAGTTGGATACGAAGAAATTGAATTCAAAATCTTTCATATTCTTAGAATGATGAAGCTGTTGCGGAAACGGCCTAGAATAAAATCGTAACCGATAATTTGAGAAAATAAAAATGAAGATAAAAGAGACACTTGTGGAAAATCCTTAAAAAATTAAGATAAAAACTACGGGCAACGATAGAAGAATTTCATTATGAGAAAATAGGAATTACAACCTCTTTTGATCTACCAAGGAGAAAACAATGATAATTCTCTCTAGATAAAAAGAAGAAAATAACTCTCAAGAAACTCTCTAAAATCTCTCTAGTATTGAAATAAAGCTAGAATGCTTTGGGATGATTTTGAAGCTATATGAGCTAGGGTATTTATAGTTGAAACTTAAGGACTAATCTTATAAATACCCTAAATTACAATGACTAAAATTAATTATCCCATTACCCAATTTCAATAAAAAATTAGGTGTCTAATTTTTGACTTTGACAAAGCACCATTTGGTGCCTAATTTGGTGTCTAAATTATTTAACTTTTAACAATTTCCCACTTGAAGATTTGATTGGAATAATCATATCTTCACACCATTCTTTCTACCTTGTACCTTCATGTTGGTTACGTTTCTGACAGGTCACAGGAGGATCGACACCAGGTAAATTTATCAGCGTTGATCGCCTTCGTCATGAAATCTGCTATGTTGTCTTTGGTATGGATCTTCTGCATATCTACTGTCCCTTCTTCCACCTTTTCACGAATGAAATGATACAGAACTCGTATGTGTTTTGTCCTTGAATGAAATGCTGGATTCCTAGCTAGATGCAAGGCGCTTTGACTGTCACAAAACAGAGAGACATACTCTTGATTGTGTCCAAGCTCCTCCAATAGCATCTTCAACCAAATTGCTTCTTTACTGGCTTGTGTAGCTGCTACATATTCTGCCTCTGTTGTGGATGTAGCCACAATTGATTGTAATTTTGAAACCCAGCTTACAGTTCCACCAGCAACTTTGAACACATATCTTGTAGTAGATTTGCTTTTATCCAAATCCCCTGCATAGTCAGAATCTACATACCCATTGATTAGTAAGTTTGATCCTCCATAACATAATGCAACATTTGAGGTCCCTTTGATATATCTCAAGATCCTCTTTACTGTATTCCAATGCTCTTTGCCTGGATTCGCCATATATCGACTAACCACTCCCACTGCTTGTGCAATATCTGGTCTTGTGCATATCATAGCGAACATTAAACTTCTCACTGCTGATGCATACGGTACTCGAGACATCTCCATCCTCTCTTCTTCACTGCTAGGACTCATACTGGAGGATAATTTGAAGTTAATAGGAAGAGGGGTAGAAATTGGCTTACAATCTTGCATGCTAAATCGTTACAAGATTTTCTTCAAGTAATTCTTTTGTGAAAGCCAAATCTTCCTATTACTTCTGTCTCGTTGAATTTGAATCCCTAGAATCTTGTTTGCTGATCCCAAGTCCTTCATTTCAAATTCCCTAACCAGTTGTGCCTTCAATTCTTCAATATGATCTTTGTTGGGTCCTGCAACCAACATGTCATCCACATACAACATCAATATAACAAAATCGTTATCACCAGACCTCTTGAAATAAGCACAAGGGTCTGCATTAAGTTTGTTGTATCCAAGGCACATAATGAAGGAATCAAATCTCTTATACCAACACCTCGGCGCCTGCTTTAGACCGTACAGAGATTTGTTCAACCTGCAAACCAATTTCTTCTTTTCGTCTTCTTCAAAACCTTCAGGTTGGAGCATATAAATCTCTTCTTCAAGATTTCCATGAAGAAAAGCTGTTTTAACATCTAGTTGCTCTAGATGTAAGTTCAATGTAGCACACATTGTCAAAACTATTCGAACTGTTGTTAGTCGAACCACATGAGAAAATATTTCATTGAAATCAATACCTTCTTTTTAAGCATATCCTTTTACCACCAGTCTTGCACGATACCTCTCAACTTGATCGTCACCATTTCGCTTGATTTTGAAGACCCATTTGTTACCAATTGGCTTCCTTCCTTGTGGTAGTGGCACAAGGTCCCATGTATTATTTTTATGAAGGGCTTCGATTTCTTCTTGCATCGCCATCATCCACAGTGAAACATCTGAGCTGTGTATTGCCTCCTGGTATGTTGATGGCTCACCGTCCTCTGTTAAAAGGCAGTATGCAATATTACCTTCTATAACATAATCTGAGTGCCAATTGGGACGTCTTCTCACACGATCTGATTGACGAGTTGTTGGAGTTTCAGAACTCCCTGGTTCTTGTTCATCATGTGCTGGTTCTGCTTCAGAAGAATCTCCTTGTTCAACCTCATTTTCCACATGTATATGTGTAGTCTCTGACTTTTCAGCGCTATCATCATCTTCTTTTCTTTGTAACTTATCTTCTACAAAGATAACATCCCTACTAATGATCACTTTGCGGGCAGTAGGATCCCACAAGCGATACCCCTTTTCTCCATCAGCATACCCCAAGAATTTGCATTTCCTGGATTTTGGATCCAGCTTTGAAATTTCTTGGGCGTTGTACATCACGTACACAATACTTCCAAATACATGGAGGTTTGAATAATCAACTGGTTTAGCAGTCCATATCTCCATTGGTGTCTTCAGCTCTATTGCAGTTGATGGAGCTCGATTCACCAAATAACAGGCGGTATTGACTGCTTCTGCCCAGAATGATTTTTCTAGGCATGCATCCCTCAACATTGCTCTTGTTCTTTCTAACAAGGTTTTGTTCATCCGCTCTGCCACTCCATTTTGTTGAGGAGTGTTCACCACTGTGAACTGTCTTTTGATGCATTCTTTCCTGCAAAAGTCATCAAATTCTTCACTTGTGTATTCTCCTCCATTATCTGTTCTGAAACACTTGATTTTATTTCCAGAATCAAGTTCCACCCACGCTTTGAAGTTTTTGAAAGTTGAAAACACATCGGACTTCTTCTTAATAGGGTACACCTAACATCTCCTGGAGTAGTCATTAATAAATGAGACAAAATATTTTGCTCCGCCTAGGGATGTAACTGGTGCTTGCCATACGTCAGAGTGAACCAGTTCTAGAACACTTTTGCCTCTAGAATTTGATGTGTTGAATTTCAACCGGTGCTGCTTACTTGTTATGCAATGCTCACACAAACTAAGTGATACATTTGTTAAGCCTTGAAGTAGCTTTTGCTCCATAAGGACTTTCATTCCTTGTTCTGACATGTGTCTAAGTTTCTTATGTCATAGCATTGCAGAATCTGAACTTCATGAGGCAACAGAGGCTTCTGCTTCTAGCAATGTCTCTCCCTTCAGCATGTACAAGTTTGCAGCTATCTTTTCACCTTTCAGCACCACAAGCGCTCCACGGAACACCTTCATGATTCCTTTCCGTGTTTCAATCTTGCTAGCATTATTATCCAACAATCCGTAGGATAATAAATTTTTCTTCAGACATTTCACGTGCCGCACATCTCGAACAACTTTAATTGTTCCATCATACATCTTCAATTTGATGGTTCCCACACCAACGATCTCTAAGGCATGATCATTGCAACTATACACAGATCCTCATGAGACAGGTTCATAATTATGGAACCATTATCTTCTTGAGGTCATGTGATATGTTGCTCCCGAATAAATGAGTCATATATCTGCAAATCGTTTTCTTCCTTCCACGGTGGTTGACGCTTAACAGCATAGAGCATCTCCATCATCTAAAGTGTTTGCGGTATTGCCTTGTGGATTGGAGTTTTTGTTTAGACTCTAACAATCCTTCTTCAAGTGACCCTTTTTTCCACAGTTGTAACACTTTAAATTCTTCTTGCTTCTCGACTTCGATCTACCATGTTTGTGACTGCTGCTTTGGCCACGTTCTGTTGATCTCCCTCTCATCGTTGTCATCGTTGTTAACGCTTCTGCTTGTTGCATATTTACTTGTTTGTCTTCCTTGTTTTTGCACTGATTTTCTTCTTGTAGAACAGCAGCTGCAACGTCATCGAAAACTAGACTGGTGACATTACTGTTTGTCAAGTTGATGATGAGTTGATCATATGAATCCGATAGACTTTGAAGTAGAAGTTCAGCATGTTCTCGTTCTCCCATTTTACAGCTTAAGGATGTAAGCTGAGAAAATAAAGTGTTCAGTGTATTTAAGTGCTCCGTCACTGAAGTAGATTCTGGCATACGGAGAGTGTACAATTTTCTCTTAAGGAAAATTTTATTGTGCAACGATGTGGCCTCGTACAGTTTGGTGAGATGATCATATATCTCCTTAGCTGTCTTCTTCTCCTCGATACTTGACAATACTTCATCTGCTAATGCTAGATGAAAGTTTGCCATAGCATTTCCGTCCATTTCGATCCATTTGTTGTCGTCTGTGAAATCTACTGGCCTTTCACTGATAGCTGCTAGACAACCGTCTTTCCTCAGGATGGCCTTCATCTTCAATTTCCACAATGAGAAATTTCTCCCATTGAACTTTTCAATATCAAATTCCGTTGTCATTGCTTCGTTTACGGATAGCTCCCACTATTTCACTATCGTGAATAGTTCTCTGGAACCTTCAAAGAATGGGTAATAACTTCTTACTTTCTTATGTTGGAGGATCGACCTTTTGGTGGCAACCACAAAGACAATAAGCAGATATTACACACTCTAATCTAGCTCGGATACCAATTATTGCGGAAGACGGCTATTGGATAGAACAAAATCGCAACTGATAATTTGAGAAAATAAAAATGAAGATAAAAGAGACACAAAATTTACGTGGAAAACCCCTAAAAAATTAGGGTAAAAACCACGGGCAACGATAGAATAATTTCACTATGAGAAAATATGAATTACAACATCTCTCGATCTACCAAGGAGATAATTCTCTAGATAAAAAGGAGAAAACAACTCTCAAGAAACTCTCTAAAATCTCTCTAGTATTGGAATAAAGCTATAATGCTTTGGGATGATTTTGAAACTATATGAGCTAGGGTATTTATAGTTGAAACTTAAGGACTAATCTTATAAATACCCTAAATTACAATGACTAAAATTAATTATCCCATTACCCAATTTCAACAAAAATTAGGTGTCTAATTTTTGACTTTGACAAAGCACCATTTGGTGCCTAAATTATTTGACTTTTAACAGAAGCATCTTATTCAACTTATCACAGTAACTTAACCATTGTATTTTTCAAGTTTACGTCTACTACCAGTTCATAATGATTCTAATTATTACTTTCATATAATCTTTTGGATATACTGAAGCTATTGAGATTTATAATTTAAATTTTGTACATAAATTTATATATTTGTTTTGAACAAAAGATTCTCTAGACACTTGAATTCTCAAAGTTTGAACACGAGCCGTTAAGTTTTGACTGACCCTTTCTGTCATTTGTGTTCTCTTGCTGGAAGCAAACTTTGACCATCTCATTAGGCATTTCAGTAATAAATGGATAATTAAAACATGAAATAAGTTTCTTAAATGGCTGGAGACTCTTATTCAAAGTACAGTTCTCTCGAGCCAACAAAAGCAACACGTTTGCTGAAAGAATGCTACCACATTAACAAATTGACTTGGAGTATGAAAATAAGCAGCTGGGGAGCAGCACCAAGAACAGATATTTTTCAAACCATATTTGAACAAAGATTAATGATAAAAGCTTTTGCATTTATTCTCTGTTTATGCAAATTAAAAATACAACATGGCATGCTCAAATGGCTTCATAATATCTTATGGAAGGCCAAAGAACAATTTAAAAGCATCCCCCTTGAAACAGAAGTTAATGGAAACTGGTTTTAACAGTCAACTGTTGTCATCCACAATGTGGCTGTTCACAAACAAACTTTCTCTTCGTTTAGGAAAGCCAGGTTCCAGGGCTGATCCCCTATACTTCAGCTCTTGAGCAGCTCTATAACTGGGTTCGATAGAAGCAGCTCTAGAGCTTGGATCCGCTCTATAATTGGATTCGATGGAAGCAGCTCTAGAGCTTGGATCTGCTCTATAATTGGGTTCGATGGAAGCAACTCTAGAGCTTGGATCCGCTCTAAAACTGGGTTCGATGGATGCAGGCCTAGAGGTTGGATCCGCTCTATAATTGGGTTCGATGGAAGCAGGTCTAGAGCTTGGATCCACTCTATAACTGGGTTCAATGGAAGCAGGTCGAGAGCTTGGATCCACTCTATAACTGGGTTCAATGGAAGCAGGTCGAGAGCTTGGATCCACAGAACTCGGCCTTAAAGAACTAGTTGCTCCACCTTGATATTGAGAAGGGGATGCATACCTTCGACTTCGAAGACCACTGCTTCTCATGTCCGACATATCAGAACCTCTTGAAGAAGAATCTATAAAAGACCTATCTCCGGTGTTGGATCCTAGTGGAGCCCCATCTGTAGCTGATGTAGAGCTAAAAGGGTCATCTGGTCCCCATGATGTGAGCGCTTCCTTTTTCTTCGCAAAGAACTGCCATGCCCCAAATAGGAAAAGTATGAAAAGTAACACGGGGCTGATCCACAGCATCGTATTAGATTCGCCTTTCATAACAGGAAGGTTAGAGCGATACATTCCTATGTAATCACCTCCGAGGCCAAGAACAATGAGATTTTCACGATCACTCGCTATTAAGGGCATCGTGTGTCTTATCTCTTTATCTGTATCCACCGCCTGGTAAGTTAAAAACGATGACCTGATCTCATTCAAGATGGCAGAGAAAAGAAACCGCGGCGCACCAGCCCTAACATAATGCGGTGTAGACACATTATACACAAAAACCTTTTCGGGATCAACGATAAGTAAATATCCTTTAATAGCCAGGAAAGCAAGAGGCTCATTCATTTCCAACTTTTTCTTGGACCTAACCCTGCACTTGAAGTTCATACTATCGCTCAACAGCAAAACATGAATCAAATCACCATCAGACGTAAAACCATAAGCTTTAGATCGCTCAGCTGCATCAAAGACATAATTCCGAGCAAGAGAATGATTCAACCCTTCGCATTCTGATTCCTTAATTTTCATGCTTCGCAAATCCAATGAACCAGCACCAGTCTCCGTCAAGAACAAAGACCTTTTCTTCAAGAACACGAGCGGTTTACTTGTTGGCATGGCAGAACCATGAAGTGTTCCGTCTTCTCTAAAAACCCTGATCTTTCCACTAAGATCTGTAGACAAAATATATCTCATTCTCCCAACATGATGAACTTCCAATGTAGTTATCGGCAACCCATCTTCCCCGCCTTTGGAAGCAACAAATTTACCAACAGTCTCCATTACAGGTGAACCCAACTCTTCTCCATTTGATCCTTCGTAAACTCTATTTACCAAGACCATGCCGTTATGATGTCCGGTAACGACAACACTCTCATTCTTAAAAACAGACATGTATGAAACCATTGCCATAATTGGCGACTGGCTTTCGGTGCGAAACTCAGCAGTAACATCCCCATTCCTTAAAAACACATAAACCCTTCCTTTTTCATCTCCAACAGCAACATACTTGCTAAGTCCCTCGTAATCACGAAAGGGCAAAACGTTTATACATGTTGCATCAGAATCTAATTTCACAGCTGACATGAACTGGAACCTCTCGGACCAAAAGGGACTGTATTTGGTAACCGAGACAGCCCTCCCTCTTTCCCCGTCTCTAACTTCAGCTTCTTGAACGTTTGCTTTAACACTACGCCTGTGATCAACTTTTGAAGACTCTGATAATTTTGATTCTAATCTAGAAACTATTTCACCAAGATTTCTAACTAGTTCTTCGAGTTTATGCAACAAAACTTGTTGAGGAACGAAATCATGCGGACTCTTAGGATCAGGTTCGTGGAGATGAATCTGATCGTGCCCGTCCTCGTTTTGGATTGAGACGGAGCTGGAGTCTACAAAAACTATCGAAAGCGGTGGCGAAGTGAAAATGAAAAGAAGAAAGAAGAGAAAAAACCTGACTTTGATGGGATTTGTCATTTTTGAGGGGGAAAAGCTTCAAGACTCGGATGATTCAATGTTCTGCCATTACAAAGTCAAACCCTGTCTGAATTAGAAATCGTTGTTTTAATGTGGGTTCGGAGAATTTAGGGTGGAATCTACGATAGATTCGATGAATCTGACGTCGGGAGGTTGGAGAGATGGTGAGCAGACGCACAAATAGTTGTAACGTTTTTTACTTGGATTTGTGCGCTCCTAGTACAAGTTAGGGCAAGAAAATCCGATTTCCAAGCGCACACACAAAAAAGAAGGAAATTTTATATCTAAAGACACTGTGATTCAGTCATGTTATCTCACTTGTAATAAAACTTAAACCCAAACTGTAGCACGACACATTGGTTTTAAGAAAACCCAAGTTTGACTCTGACCCTATCCTAATTACGAGTATATCGTTTTAGGCTGGATTTCATTTTTAACCTTGGGTTTGGGCCCGTACAGAAAGAAGCGGTTGGTTACTGTTTCTTCTTGCTTCTAATCCATCAATCTAACCAAGATCAAATGGTAGTAATATATATAACTCAACATGCCATGTTTATAAAACTCGGTGTCTAAGAGCAATTGCTCCTCTGTTTCCTTCTCTTCACATCCAAACCAAGGTATCAAATCTGTTTCCTAACATTGCATGACCAAGGCTATCGGACAAGGCAACAAGACTACGAGTTGATTCCAAACCAAGAACTTTGTCTTGTTTTGGGTCGTTACCAATAGTAAGCTCCGTTCTTTAGGTGGCATTCTAATCAAAGAAAGCAAGCTTAGTTAAAATTGTCTCCCATCAAAGGAAAACATCCTCTCTACAATAAAATCCACTCCTACCGACACTGTGACCCTGTAAGCACCTAGAAACTCCATAGAGCAAGAAAGGAAGCTTTTCACTTGATTCAGATAAAGATTGCATCGGCAAGTGTAGCCTCCCAATTAACCATCGCTGTACTTAGGGATGGGCATGGATCGGGTTGGGTAGGGTTTTTGGTCCATCCGACCTGACTCGAGAAGAAGGGGACCTTCACCCGTGACCCGACCTGACCCGACAAAATTAGTTTTTCACCCGACCCGATAGATAGTTTAAAAAATCCGACCCGACCCGAAATAAAAAATATATATTTTTATTCAATAAAAATAATGACTAAATTGAAAAAAATAATATATAGAGAGGTATTATTATAATTATTCCTAAATATATAGGATAAAATTATATATTTCCCGGGTCGAGTCGAATTTTTTCACCCTAAACTCGAACCCGGCCCGACCCAAACACCACATAAAAAAACTCGACCCGACTCGAACCTAATTTTTTTTTAAAAAAATTTAAACCGATCAGATCGAATCGAGTCAAAACCTATCAAATTCGGATTAGATTTCCATCCCTAACTGTACTGCTTCAAAAACAGGGGTTAAGTTCATCTTTTATATCATTATCTAAACTCTTGTGCCATTCAAAAAAGTCTGATACGTTCCCTTGAAAACGTCGTCATACACTCTCCTCGAAATCGCAAAATCTCACGCATTCTTCCCGAGATCATAACATGGCTTCAAAGTCGTAACTCCTACGTGATTTTATTTCAATAAATCAATTCTAACCGCATGATATTTAATCCGTATGTTTTTATTTGAAAATAAATTTATTCTTTGAATTTAAAGTAAAAATGAAGGTTTAGAGTCGTTCTCCCTTTGTAAATATCTAGTTTGGTACCTACTTAGGATGATTAGTTTACGGTTCACCATATGAATTGTTTCGACTCTACAGAATGAACTCGAATTGTCTTTGATGTTGGTGCCCCATTGAGCTATCAAACCATCGATTCTCATCCATTACAGGCTTCAAACAGATTGAGTTCGATTCGAGGGATTCACTTTCCTATACCTATATGAGGAAATAAATTTCCTCATATATATAAGACGACTATCCCACAGGTAAAATGCTATAGCTCATACGGAGAATAAGTTCACCACGAAAGCATATCATTCACCCCTACTAAATTGGGAAGAAACTCGGGTATAGAGCTTATGTCATGCCAGTACATGTGATGTGTGTGAAGATGAACTCACAAACCTTCGACAAAAACTAAACGAAGATAGAAGCACTTTCGATATGAAAAATTCAATGAAACTACAACCATGGAGTCAAACATCAATACAATTATTTACATAAAAAATGAATAATAAATTAATAAATGTTCAATGAAAATGAAAATGATCATAAAATAATTTTAGACTCGAATGCACAATTCCATCACTATGACAACGCATAAGCGATTAACAGGCTGACTCTCTAAATTTTCCCAACAGAGTCGTCAAGCTGTCGACATCATTATTTTAACAAATAGAAAATTTAGTATCGAATTTTATGAAATGATGGTGGAAGTCACCATCGACCTTTAGGTTGGGTAGGTCAAATACCTAAAAGTTTTTTTTTCAAAATAATTTTAAGAAAAAATATTTTACAAACAAAAGTTGGGCCTACTTATTACCAGAAATTCATTTTTAAGATCACGAGAGTCGGTTACACGTGAGGAATGATTAGCACCTCACAACGCCCAAAATCGATACCTAATCGCTTATACGTTGTCGTTATAGTGGAAATTGCAAATTCGAGTAAAAAATTTAAAATATGATCTTTTATATTAAAATTGATTAATTTATTTCATTTCACAAAATTGCATACAAAAATGAACTTGATTTATTTCAAGTTCACTTTTCGTTCGAATGTCGTATTGAATCGTACTACTTCTAGCAAGTTGTACTTTTCACGTCCATTCTACGAATAAATGTTCTTGAACGTAAGTGTAAGAAAACTCATAACAAGTAATAATATAAAAAATTAACAAGCAAAGATTTTATAAAATAAATTTACGAAAATAAATAAAGAAATCAGAGGTTTAATACTATGTAACTATACAAAGGTATAAGAATATCGAATAGATAGATAATTATGAAAACATATGTCATAATATTTATATATAAAAACACAAAAAATGAGACAAAGTATCAAATAATAATTACACGTATACTAGTATAAAAGTATAAGGACTACCATATAATGAACAAATAAAATAGGGATCAAATCAGTATAAATAAAGAAATAAGGAAGCTAACAGACAATAATCCATATTTTTCAAGCTAAAATAATGATTAAATTACATATTAACGGAAATTAGAGGAACTAAAACATAAATATCACACTTCCTAATAAATAATAAGTTAAGTACTAAAACAAAATAAACTTGAAACTTGGGAACTTATTTTAAAATAAATATATAATCTTCAAGGTGATGACTAAATTGAAATAAATAAAAAACTAACATGTGAAATTGAAATTAAATCAGTGACTTAAGTGTAGAAACACATTAAAACGGTAGGGACTAAAACATAATTATTCAACTTTTTTAAAGCTAAAATACTCTATGTTTAAAAAGAGGAAAATTTTCAAAATCAGGCCACGAAAATTATAGCAAGTTGACGGTGCAAGTATTTCCACATTTGCATTGCGTGGTAGAAATGATTTAACATTTCCCGACCAGGTAACTCGGATAGATAAATGTTGAGTTGGATCCAGATTTTTTTTAGTTTTATAATTACTTTTTAATATATTTTAACTATTATCTCTATATATATTAAGTATTTTTTTAACTCTATATAACATTTAAACATGATTTTATATTTTAGTTAAATATTTTTTTTAATTTTGTAATATACATTTTATTTACTTTGGTAAAATTTATTGTAATACAAAATATAAGAGATGTACTATTTTGATTGATAAAATCTTAATTTAATTGACTAAAGATATATAGAAAGATATAAATTTAGACATATTTAATTGTGATAAATTAAATAAGAAAAATTATGAAGAAATATACTTCGTTGATCGGTAAAGTTATTCATCTTCATTTTCTTATATTTTATTAGGTCATGTGCTCTAGATAGGGATGGGCACGAGACCGACTCAATCGGGTTAGATTTTTGAAAAAAAATCGGGTTCCGGTCGGGTCGGATTTAGGGTAAAAACCCCGACTCAACCCCACCCGAGAAATAATATAAAAATACCATATATATTTAGAGATAATTGCAAGAATATCTCTCTTTATACGTAAATTTCACTAGACTTGAACACTTTTCAACGCGAACTTCGACTATCGCATTGCGATTTACATATTCGCGTGGCGATAGTATTCAAGTTCGTTATTACATTTGTTTCTTAAGAATTTTCTCTAAAAAGATAATATTCGCGCGGACGTGTCGAAGACACGTATGACCACGACCACGACCACGACCACGACCACGACCACGACCACGACCACGAGTCGAGACGAGACGAGACGGACGACGGCGGCGGCGGCGCGCGAGAGTCTCCCTTGTTCTCTATCACTCAACAAGGAAGTGGGAAAGCCAAGCCTTAAATACCATTCCCAATAATATTTCCAATACTATGTGGGATTGAGCATTACCAACACTTGTTCCCAATAGTATTTCCGGATACACTTTAAGTTCAATTATAATCAACATTTACTACTTGCTCGAAATACCGAGCAGAGTAGACAATATCGTGATGAATTGTTTTGTTAAGTTGGTAAAGCATGTTCTTGGATTACGAGAGGCTTATTGTAAATATAAACAAAATATTTCTTCCGTTTCTTCATAGTTTAAAGTGCTAGTGAATTTTCAATCCCACATAGTATTGGAAACACTATTGGGAATAGTATTTAAGGTTTGCCTTTCCCACTTCCTTATTAAGTGATAGAGAACAAGGGGGACTCTCGCGCACCGCCGCCGCCGTCTCGTGATCGTGGTCGTGGTAATAGTCGTGGTAATACGTGTCTTCGACACGTCCGCGTGAATACTATCTTTTTAGAGAAAATTCTTAAGAAACAAATGCAATACCACCAGTCGTTGCGATTTTGGACTATCGCAACGAATTTGGAGACTATCGCAACAAATTTGGAGACTATCGCAATGAATTTGAAGACTATCGCAACGCACTTGGAGACTATTGCAACGAATTTGGAGACTATCGCAACGAACTTGGAGACTATCGCAACGAACTTGGAGACTATCGCAACGCACTTGGAGACTATCGCAACGCACTTGGAGACTATCGCAACGAACTTGGACTATCGCAATGCGAATATGTAAATCGCAATGTGATAGTCGAAGTTCGCGTTGCGAATCTGGAAACTGATTTGCGATACCTGAGATCGCGTTGCGAATTAACGATCGCATTGCGATTTTGTTGGTCATTTTGGCAAATCCAAAAAAAGTTAGTTAAAATCGTATATTATAAGGTATTTTTGGTCACTGAAGTTATTTTCTCTTAAAATAATATGAAGTGTTGCATGTCAAAGCAAGGACTGTAGATTGATTACAATGAAGTGTTGCATGTCAAAGCAAGGACTGTAGATTGATTACAGTAACTCGGACTATGAAAACGGAACACGCATACTAGTTTTCTCAAAAACAGAGATATTTACAGGGAGATACAAGTCATACTACTGAGGGATACTACTCAGTCAAAACCTGTATTGAATGGCATATCCTTGTAGGCGAGACGGCAGTATATGACTTTGGATCTCAATCCACAATCGAGTGGACCGTGATACGAAATTTAGATGCAAGGATTTAGATAAGCCGCCTTTTGAAGCTTCGAGTGGTTGCTTGGTAAGTGCGAACCAACAAGCCAACTCCTATACCAACCCCAAGACAAACGCCAAGACTAATCCCTACGCCAACCCTTACACCTGCGTTGAACCACGAGAGCTCACCATCTTCGTTATCCATGTACTCTGTTCTCCTCCAGAAGATATTGTTGTAGTCTTCATCGTTCACTTGTTTGTAGTTTCTGTATTCTGATAACTGTGGATGTAAAGTAATGTGACTTGTTAGAGATGAATGAGCTGTATGTGCTGTATTGTATCAAAGAAAAAAACACTGGAAAATAAAATTAAAAAAAGCTAAAAAAATAACAGGAACGTTAGTTTTAAGGCCCTCTCTTCTCTCTCTACCCTGATACTACACTCGGGTAAAAAGCAATGCTTTGCGGTCCTTGGTAAGAAGCAGCAGATTCTTGAAGTTGAGGAAGAAAAGAAAGCCTGAACTGATGATGCAGATCGCCAATGATGGCAGTGTGAGAATATTTATTCTCTCTTTAATATTTCAGTTCGTCGAAGACTGAACCTTATATCACTGGAACTAAGAGTCCGGGATTCTACCAACAAGTCGCATCTAAAAATAACAATAACTAATCCCAGGGATCCCAAATAGGAAAAGAACCAATACAATTACCGAAAGCTTACAAGAAATGCTTCCAAAGAGAGCAACACAAATTTATTTCCCCATGACACGAGTTGCCTTCAAAGAGAAAGATATCTACCTTCAATATCGGTGGTGGGTTAAAACAGCAGGCAATAGTTGAGATTTATAACATCGGTCGTCGAATACAGAATGTTTGGGAAAACATAGTTGTATGTTTCAATGGTTTAAGCAGTTTCTTGGTAGCAAAAGTTCTATACCCATCCATGTAAATTGTAATACCAAGTTATGTGCAAAGTACGAACCTTAAAGATCAAGGAGACCTTCCTGAAGCAGGTCTGGGTACAGGTATGCAAAGTAACTCCGATTTAAGGCGATGTTTCAAAGAAAAAAGTTTAGCTAATAAGCAAGAACAAGTAAACCTAATCGACCCTCATCGGCTTGCAAAGCTGCTATTAATCAAATACTTAATTGCAATGAAATCTATAAACACAGCATTTGCGTTAACAGCAGAGGATGGGGGTACCACAACAATAGAACGGCAAGAAACAGCCAGGAGAGGTGGCCTCTACATGACAGCAAACCGGTATGGCTCTAGTGGGCCTAGAGTCCTCGGGATCAGGCAGACCAACTTTATTGTTAAATACACAAGAGAAAAGGAAAGGGGTATATCCCATCACTTTAAAAGTGCACATCGCCCATACCCTGATGACATATATAGGATAAAGATCAGTTTCCTAAAAAATTAGCTGAACCTTATTCTCATATGTAATGGGATAAGGGGAGGTAGGATAGTAGGCTGCCTCCAACGCCAGGTTGAGAGCAACTTTCGTGGGAGACATCCGAATTATGAAATGCCCTCCGTGGGACTCGATCCTACGACCTCAAGGTTAAGATCTTTGCGCTCTACCAACTCTATCATGGACCATGTTTCAAGACAGGAAGCACGATTGCGGCCTTAAAACGGAGGAAGGAAACTAGCATGAAATAAAAACTTCACCGAATTTGAAATCACAGCACTTAGCCAAAGCTTATGAATGGTCACCCTTAAATAAACAACATGGACTACTAAATTGGTAAAATTAAGAATTCAGCATCAAAGCATGGCTCAAAAGTAGCATATATCAAACTCAGTCCACAAAGTGAACAGAAGAGAAGCGAAAAAGAATTTCAATAGTGAATTATACGGTACATTACCTGCATATATCCAGGTGACATATCTTTCTGGCATTCAGTGCTCTCATATTCAGGGATTACATCTAATGTTCCCTTGTGATTATGCTTCTTCCTGTAATTAAGTTGCAATGTTTTAGTTAAGATGATTGGTTTTCCAGAGAAGCAACCAGCAACATAAACCTCAATGGTAGGTGACGATAATTGGGGACAAGAATTGAGCTTTCCCTTCAGGAAACCAGTGCCAGATGTGATCCCTGATTCACAATTCATACTCCATTGTTTCACATTATTTTTCGGTTCCCCAATGAAGCCACTATTACCAGACATTTCCAGAACACCAGAGAGAACGAGGTCCTTTTTATCGAACACCTCGAATTTCACACTTCCTGTCAACTTAACATTATCTGTACTCACAAAGGTGACTTCTTCTGATCTTTTATCTACCCGGTCCCTTCTAAGGAGTATAGATACCTCTTCAGAGTATATACTGTTTCTAATGCCATTAACTTCCAAAAGGGTGTCAGGCTTTAAGGGGATATGACTGAGGGTTAGAAACTCCGGAGTCGAATCATCAACTTGAAATTTGCTGACTCTAACATAGAACACTCTCAAATCAAACCAAAGTGATGATAATCCGCCACAGGGTTGGAGCGGCGAGTACCGGATAAGCTGAAGGTCGCCACCTGCTACTTTACCATTTTCTGGTGTTTCACAAAGACCCTCCATGATTGAGGAGCTTAATCCTCGCTGAATCCTTCTAACACCAATTAGAATCACAGCAGCCGATGAACCAAAGAAATTGCTATTGAATTGCCTGTAAAAAACTTCATATCAATAGGAAAGTAATGCCAGTCAGATAATCACAAAGAGTAAGCGTTCGAATAAGCATAGGTTCGATAGTCACAAGGAACAAAGAACATATCAGAAAAATCCAAGAGAGAGCTTGATATAAGAGATTTCCAAGTAACAATCTAAATAAATACAAAAACCACATATACATCAGGAACATAGGACCTTTGAAATATGGAGGAGAAACCATAACAAAAAAAAAATGCAGTCAAAACTGTATATCTCCACGCCAGAGGAAGAAGCTAAATTTCCAAATTTACTATATAATAATACCCTAACAGAGATCATGGAAAAGTCTGATAGTTTTTCTTTTGAAAAATACACGATTAATTGTTGAATAGCCTGAAAGTGATAAAAACCGAAAAAAGGAAATGATTTTCTATTTACTTATCTGAAATTTCCATAAAACAACAAACGAAATAAGACAATCAAGTGGAAATTCAAAACAAAGATCAACTTGCAAACGATATTCATCATTTGGAAGTTGAAAAAAAAAATACCCACCAGCAGCTTCCCCAGGGGATCCTACAGATAAGCAAACCAGGAATCAGGTTTCTCTTATTCGGAATGAAAGCAAAACAAGAGGATCCAATTGAAGGGATACTATTCTTCCAAGAGAAAAGAAAATAGAGAAGGAAGTTTGAAGAATAAAAAGAGTAAAATATAAATTTAGTAGCTAAAGTTTCTTATATTCTTATTTCACTCATTGTACTTTTAATTTTTAATATTTAATAAGAAAAATACGGTGAAATTAAAAATCCAAATGAGACCCAATCTCATTTTAAAAGTACTCCCTCTCTCTTATTGTTCTTCATTCCTTGTTTTTCATCTCATGAATCTCTCTCGTGCATTGCCTCCACTTTTGTTTCGTTTTGTGTATTAAGAAAAGGTAAACTACATTGGCCTGCACATGTATGAGAGATCCAAGGAGGGAGCAATGACAAATTTAAATTTTATTCTTGATTAGTTTTCTTTTACAAAATCAAAAGTTTCTCCCATGTTTTAAAGTAAAAAATGTTGTTTTTGATAATTTTTTTAAGAGGGAAAGCCTCAAAGTCATTGATTCTGGAGGCGTTTTAAATTTCGCAAGATGATACCAAGACCCAAGGGTCAAGTTGTTTTGATCTGGGAGTTAATCGAAGCACCATTGATAATTCCTTTGCTGCAACTCGGTGTCTACATTTGCTTACTCGTGTCGCTTATGTTTTCAAGGGGGAGTGGGTTTACAAGGGAATGGTCAGACCCTTGTACCAGCTCTTATAATTGTAGTTTTGTTTGTAGTCAATCACAAATGCAGCTTGGTCTTGCTCATGCTTTCGATTTCCTCGAGCTCTTGAGCTTCTTTTGTTGTATTTTCTTTTGAAGACTCGATGGTTACTCCAAGTCCAAGATGGTGCCCACTGTTCGCCTCTGTTCCGGTTTTGCCTCTCCACTTTAACCTCCCGTTTCTCCTCACCTGATACTCCTCGTAAAACTTACTGCAACCAATGTTCTCTGTTTTCCCATTTCCATATTAAGGTCGGTGGGGTTTAAAATTAAAAATTGAATCATAAAATTTAGTGAACAAATTGAAAATTTGATGATCTAATAGGACGAGACGTTAAATTCTTTAAACAGGATCATATATTTGAGTTATGACGATTACAAACGAAATAAATTAGGTTAGAATGTTTACTTTTATCTCTATAATATCAGATCTAAACTAATTGATTAATATATTAAATAGCGATTGTTGTAACAAAAAAGATAATCCCAAAAATCATAAAATTGAGAAGGAAAAAGTGACGGGACATTTTTATGATCATTTTATTCCTATTCTTCTTCTTTTTAATTATATTATGATAAATTATGTGTTTAATATTAAAATTATTAGTTTTAATCTATTTTAATATCTAATTTTTTTTATTTTTTTTTATAAATAACTCATAAGTTTAGTTTTCGTTTCATTTTAGTACCTACTGTTAAAATTTATGTTTTTGTTTCTTTTTAATACCTCACCGTTAAAACTTTTGTTTTTATTTCATTTAATTTTTTGTTCAAAATTTAACGTTAAGTTTTGAAAAAATTAAAAGTTTAGACACTAAAACGAACAAAGTGATAGTTTAGATACTTAACGCGTTAATTTTTAATGATAAAGAATTAAAATAAAATGAAAATTAAAAGTTAAACATAATTTTGAAAAAATTGAGAGTTTAAATACTTAAACAAATCAATACCGATAGTTTATGTATTAAATACGTAGTTTACCCATTATACTAGTCGTTGGATATACCGAGAGTGATGTGCTGCAGTCTGACCTGCGCTACTAATACGCGTATGATATCGATGACCTTATCCGATTAGCAAGGTGAGATTTTTACTATTACGAGGACGGTGACATTTGAAAGGGACGCCCTGCCTTAGTTGTCCCTGTCCTTGCGGGCTGACTGAGGAGTAATCAGCATCTATGTCAACGTGGGCGTTGCCTGTTGTGACATGATATCATCATCAGCATTTAGATGTTAGAGAGGTCGCCTCCTCAGACTCATTGGGCCAAATACCGAGGACATTATAAACAAGCCTTTTAATTTATATAAATCAATACCCAAAAGAGAAGCCCAATTCTTGAAACCGAGAGACCAAAACCAAATAATACCCATTGTCTTGTAAGAAAAGAGCAACCAGGGAAATCGCAGATTCGCAGTATCTGTCTGCAAGAACAAGTTCATCAAAGGGCGCCGATTGTTTTCTGACAGGGTCTGTTTTGAAAGTTCAACTCCCGCGCTCCTTTGCCTATCCAGGTGAGCATCTCTTTTTGTACACGATGCGAAAGTGAAACTCTCCCAGTCTTACTTTGTATTGGGTCTCGAACTTTCTCTAGCCTAATTGATCTGTATCATGAAATTTTGAAATGGGTTTTGTGTTTCAAATCAAGGAAATGCAATTTTAAATTCTCATTAGCAGAACGTTCTTTTTTCTTTGGGGGTGGGTGGCATTTTGGGGTTTATTGTGGTGGTTGCACTTCCTTTTTCTGGGATTGTCATTAAGTGGTAGTTGAAAGTAGAAAGAAGACTGACAGTTGATTTTGAAAGGTGTGATCAAAGGTTGTTGATGCTTAACTTTGCCTAGATTATGGCATACCCTGAGCCTCAAGGCGCGGAGAGGGAGAAAGTTCAGGTTAACCCTGACCCAAGAAAACCCAGGATTTTACTCGCTGCCAGTGGAAGTGTAGCTGCCATAAAGTTTGGGAATCTCTGCCATTGTTTCTCGGAATGGGCAGAAGTTAAAGCTGTTGCCACGAAGGCTTCTTTGCATTTCATTGACAGAGCATCACTTCCTAAGGATCTTAAGCTTTATACTGATGAGGAGGAATGGTCTAGTTGGGGGAAAATAGGTGACAGTGTGCTTCACATCGAGCTTCGTCGATGGGCTGATATTATGGTCATTGCCCCATTGTCAGCAAACACGCTTGGCAAGGTAATATTATTCGGCTCCTCTATGTTGTACCTTGCATTAACCGTTGAAGGGACGCTGAACATTATATGTTCAATTCAATGAAAAGAGCATTGGAGACTGTTGGGAGAATGCGTGAAAGTCTCCTAATTCTAGCGATTAGGGTGTGCTTTATGTTGCTGTAGAAAGATCCAAACACTTGTTTGATGCATCCTATCATGATGAGTTTAGAATTTGTGCGAAGCATTCATGTGCTTTTGATATTCCCATTTTGTGAAGCTGGTTTGTTGGTTAGACAATTGTATTGCTCGATGCAATTGCAACTCTCTTAAGCATTTTCTTTTTCATCTTTTAATATCTGCTGTTGCAGATTGCTGGGGGATTATGCGACAATTTGCTGACTTGTGTCATACGAGCATGGGACTACAGCAAGCCTATGTTTGTTGCACCAGCGATGAACACTTTCATGTGGAGCAACCCTTTCACAGAAAAGCATCTCATGACAATTGATGAGCTTGGAATTTCCCTCATCCCACCTGTCTCGAAGCGACTAGCTTGTGGGGACTATGGGAACGGCGCAATGGCGGAACCTTCTCTAGTCCACTCTACTGTAAGACTATTCTTGGAGTCACGGCCACAACCAAGTGACTGAAGAACCTGTTGATTCGCCATGAATAACAAACACCATATTAGTTGTGTTGTAATCCATTTGATCCAGTATTGGGCGTGTTTCTGTTAGCCGTCAAACAAGCTTAATGTACACTTATAGTTGCATTTTAGAGTTTGGTTAAACCTTGCACATCATGAAGAATTGTCTCTGAAATACTTCATGAAATCTGACCTTGTAAGCTGATGATATTTGATGATTTGCAGAATCTTACTACGTATATAGATTAGCTATTGTTTGTGTCTACAGTATACCGTGTCACAAAGATTAAGTCCAGTCAGGGGGTTAAATGTTTATGAGCCTCACCAGGTTGAAGGGCCCCAGGGCCGTGTAGCGACAGAAGTGGTCAGATTGAGTCACTGAGTCCGACTTCTGAGTCATATGGTACATATAATGCACTCCAACATTTTCACCAATCACCACGGTTAAAATCAAAACCACAAGACAATGGTTTCAAACAAGAAACAACCACCCATTTAACCATGCTAACGAATAGGTTTTTATAAAAGAGAAAAGATGAACCACCCTACGCATACGGTTAACCCGTAAGTGGCCGTGTAACCACACCTGTTAACTAAATGGTACTCGTTTTAATATAAATCCATTCAGCATTATACTGTTTTGATATTTTGTATTGTTCCATATTGAGCGTACCTAATTCAACAGGTTGACACAAAATTTTAATTCAAGTGCACGGTTCCTATAAGAGGTAAAAGATGAACAATCCTAAGCGTTCTAACCATGGTTAGCTCGTGTGTATTTATATAAATACACATACATAGGGGTTGATAGATGAGGTTGACATAAAAAGAAAAGTAATTTTAATTGCTTTCTGGGATTTGTTTATTCTCTGCAAATAGAAGCAATGACTATTGCTATTGGTATTTGGCTGTAGAGAATTAGAGGAAAAGAAACGAAAAGGGAGGAGATTGTATTAATGGGGTTTCGAGAACCTTGATATTGGTCAAACTTACTGGTCTAGTTGCTTTAGGGTGTTGTATAAAAAACACATATCCAGGGGCATATTTTGAATGAATTCTTTTGGATTCAATAAACAGAAGCTTCAGACATTAGAAAGGATAGTAAAACAAAAGTTATTGAAGATTTGATTTTGATGGTTTTATTTTGAGGTTGTTGAATGAAAGCTTATTGATAAGGAAAGATTGATGGGTAAGAAGTCTAAAAAAACCAAGCAACTTTCGGTGGCAATAGTCGAGGGTTCATCAGCAGGAGAAGAAGCACACCAACAACAATCTCAGCCTCAGACTCCTAGAAAGAGAGGTAGACCACGAAAGATTGTTGAGAGGACTGGAAGTGAAGAAATGAAAGAAGAGGAAGCAGCTGAAGTTACTGAGAGCCACTCAAAAAAACTAAAAACTACTGTGGAACAACAACAAAAACATGAAGAAGAAGAAGAAGAACAAGAGCAAAGGCCAGAGGCAAAGACAGAACCAGAGCCTTCATCAACTTCCATTGGAAGCATGAAGAAAGGAGAGGGACAATCAGTGGCACCAAAGGAGCCTCCAACAAGGAGAACAAGAAGAAAAAGCAAACCCAGAAAGAGCAGCTAAAATTTCTTCAGTTTGTCTTTACAAAGTCCGGTAAATCCATTCTCCCCCCCCCCCTCTTGCTTACTGCATTTATATGGTAGCTCCAAGAAAGGAAACATTAAAATGGTTGAGTTGGATGAAGATGGAGTCTCCAGCTTACACGATGAAAGCTTCTTGATTTCATCAAACTTGCATTGTAGCTTTATCAATCTGTTTCACATGTAAACACAGAAAAGCATAATATAAAGGACCTTGCTTTTTCTTTTCCCTGATTGCAGTAATTGGCCTTTCTTAACCATCTTCTTTATCCCACATGTTTTTCTGTATCAATAAACAAAGCTTAAAGGTAGCAAAGACAGGTTTTATTATTATGCCATTATATGAATTAAATCAGATTAAAGTTGTTACAACTATTACTATACATATTTTTCTTGTTAAACTACTACTTGTTATTCCGATTACTGTTAGTAATAGGTTAGTTGACTGTATTTTTTTCCCTTGGTCATGTTCATCTTTGATAACGTCTCAACCTCAGAAACATATGAAAAGAATAATAAAGTAATAACACTTGAGGGTCTATTTAGAAAGGATTTCTGAATTCAACATGCTAAACAAGTTCTTTTAATACACTGTAATATGCAATCGTCTTTTACCGAAAAGGTGATCGGAAAATGATAAGTTAGCCATTTTTAAGATTACAGTGGGATAGAATATTAGAAGAAAAAAAATACGGGGATGTCCGACGAAAGGGACAGGACATTACGTTTAAGCGATAACGGATGGGGATATTTCCCTGTAGGAACATGGCTCACATCTTAAAGGTGAGATAAATTTTAGAGATTCACGTCAGCAACATCACAGAGCGAAGTTATCATATAATCGTGTCGTTAAATTATTAACAGCAGAGTGATATAATTATACTTAAAAGTAAACGGTTAATATTGAAAATGATGTTTCTTCGATGGCAACTGCTTATAATCTGCATAAAAATTCGTAAGCTTTGAATTATGATCGTCTTTTTTCAGAGGTCGGTTTTAAAAAAATACGAGCCCAAACCATCTGCAGACCAACTAATAGCATTCCATATTTGGAATCAAATATAACTGTAACACTTGATGTCTTGCATGAGCACTACACATAAAATGGCTGAATCAGCCGTGTTAAATATGATGATTGATTTACAAATATCTCGCCAACTTTGAGCACCGAGTGATCACAAATTGAGTTTGGATGTAAGAGCAACACAATGCAATTTGTTTGTGAAATTTGTGACTGTAAAAAATACATTGACATATCAAGGTCGCCATGCAGTCTTCTGCGCACATAATATACCCTCCTTATTCTGAGAATAAGTCATTCTGATCTCCCAATGTAAACTTCTCAAAATTGCCTCAAGTGGATCAAGTATCTCGACTTTATCACGCACGATCACCCAACCTCCGGGTCATAGAATACGGTCCATCTCGACAACGATCGAAACAGGTTGCTTGCTCATGCAAAATGTGATATTGTTGGTGTCGCAGCCGTCTTTCGGTTGGGCCCCGGAATTGGGCTTCGACTTGGATTAAATGAGTTAGAGTCGCCACCGACCATTTTAAAATGAATTTAGGTGGGTCGGACACCATCTTACCTGATCTACGTCTTACCAGAAATATGTCGGGCTCGGGAGTCGGTTACGGTCAAGGAAGGATTAGCACCCTTGAACCGCCCTTTCGGTACTACGTAATTTCCAGTTGTCTTTAATTAAGAAAATTGAAAGTTAAATTAAAAGGTAAAATATTGATCCAAATTGCTTACCACTGATTCGATTTAAAAGTATACCCTTAAAAAGTCATGAGAAGCGTTAACAAATGGTGATGAAAATAAATCAAAAATAAAGAAAGTGCAATAAAGAACAAAATAGACAAAAATAAACAATAAACATAATTAACATGAAGGTAGAGAACATGAATGAAACAAAAATAAGGACAAGCATAAAAACGTAAGGTAAAATAGAGAAGAAAAAAAAAGAAAATAAAATAAAATATGGCATATAAATAAGACATTAGAAAAATAATAATAAAAATTACATAAAGTATACATAATATATATACATATATAAATATATAAAATATTAGAAGAGATACAATAAAAATAAAATAGAAGATAAGTAAACAAATGATAAATAAGAATAACGGTAATAATGATAAAGATATAAATAATGGGAAAAATAAAAAGATATATATAATAGTAATAAATAAATAAATAACTATAATCAAATATGTTCGTATAAAATAAAAAGGAATAATGAAAATAAACTAAAAAATACAAAGTAGAATAAAATGAAAATGATAATGATGTTAAAAAAACACGAAAACTATATATAAATAACACATATATTATTAAATAAAACAAATGAATAGAAATAAATATACAGATAATAATAAAAGAAAAAAAAATATGTTTATATACGCTATCGATAATACTTAAAATAATAAAAATAACGATGATTATATGTATATATATATATATGTATAATAAAATAAAATAAAAATATACATAAAATATATATATATATATATATAAATAAAGGAATAAAATATAATAATAATGAAAATATAGTATATAATAATAGTAGGGACTAAATTGAAAACGAAATAAACTCGAGGGTCAAATTACAAGGATTTCGGGTTCAATAATCGATTCAGAGGACCAAATTAAATGTTTTTGAAACTGGAGAACCAAAACGTAAATCTCTCGCTTCTTGAAAAAACACGCGGGTTCGAGGTTCATCGGGTCGGGCATAAGCTGGAACGGGTTAATATATGACTCAAACATATTTTTTCTATTTCATTTCTCTCCTCACAATCAAAAGCTCCCCTCCCCTCTCTGCAGTTTCTCTCGTTTATTCAACCGTGTTCTTCATTTGAAGAACACGGCCACCACTGAAAACCAGAAATCAACCAATGGCCACCCCGCTCCGCCTCGCCGGCCACCGTTGAACGGTGCCGGCCGTCGTTCATCGGCGGTAAACCCTAAAATTTTATTTTTTCGAAAGCCCTTCACCTCCTCGTTTCAAAAAAACCAAAATCGTTTCTTTAAAAAGTAAGCCTCGGGGGCCAGATCTGGGTTCGAAAATCCCGACCTATACCCCTGTTCATCGGCTTTATTAGCGTATTTGAGGTTTGGAACGAGCACAAAACGGAAACAAAACACGAACAACTCCCACATGCAAGCGTATCAAACAAAAAAAAGGTAAGGTTTTTACCTCTGTAGCCTTCGAAGTTTTCAATAAAACTACTTGGATTGCTTTGAATATTGGTATAACTTTGCTCGAAATTTCGTATCAAAAAAAAAATCCCTCTAATACTGTTGATTACATGCCTATTTATACAAAAATGCATGCCTATTTTTTGGTCTAGCTTGAGTCCTAATCAAACTCAACTACTTTTATTTGTTTGACATCCACGATCGTTGCTTGTGGCCGAGAGAACCGGGCTATGTTGAGCAGTTGGTGTCCTACACATTCATGTAAGTTGGAGGCCGAGAAAAGTGGGTTCGTTGCGTGACAAGCGGCGTGCCAAGTGGGGACTGTGGCGCTTGTGGAGAGACGAGTGAGGGAGAGCTGGATGCACCATGCGGCGCTGATGGAGTGAAGTCTTGCTAGGGTTTCTGGAAATCCTACACGTTGGGCGCGTGACTTGGGTTTGGCATGTTGAACCACATGTGGATTTGTGGGCACCAATTGGGCCTGTAACCTGTAAATCAAGTGTAATTATAAAAATAATATGATATGTATACACATAAACCATATATTATAAATAATAACACAAATGCAAATGTAAATGCCATAGAGACGAAAAATATGTGTCGACAGCTGCCCCTCTTTGCCCATAGTCGTGTAACGGGTGTAGGACAAAGATTAAAAGACACATTTTTTGTCTAACATGAATATATCAAACACCATCCATAAAGGGGTCTGTCCCCATCGAATATCCTCTGTTGTAGAGTTAAAATCCGATGCTAAGACTGATTTGTCATTTTGAATTGAATCCTGAAGTGACTCCCTCGTCGTGAGGTTGAGTCGAAACCGAAAGATTCTGATCACGAAATTCTTCGTCGTGAAGTTGAAATCGAACTCAAAGCTTTTGACAAGTGGCCTCTGAATCGTCTTTTTGCTCAAGATACTTCGTCGTGAAGGTGAAACTTGACCTGAAGACTTTGGTGTTGTGGTGTCACTGATGACTCTCTCGTCGTGAAGTTGAGTCAATCCGTTTGTGAAGTTGGAATTGTATATGGCTCCTCCATCGTGAATTTGAGCCTGAGAATTGGAAGTCCTTCGCCGTGAAGTTGAAATCTAAGTATTGTTCAGAGCCCAATATCCTTCGTTGTGAAGTTAAAATTGGCTCTGAATTTGAGAAATGTTTGTTGACAACCAGCGGTCCCTTCGTCGTGAAGTTGAACTTGCGTTGTCTGGATTCCAATATCCTTCGTTGTGAAGTTGAAATTGGCTCTGAATTTGAGAAATGTTTGTTGACAACCAGCGGTCCCTTCGTCGTGAAGTTGAACTTGCGTTGTCTGGAGTCCAATATCCTTCGTTGTGAAGTTGAAATTGGCTCTGAATTTGAGAAATGTTTGTTGACAACCAGCGGTCCCTTCATCGTGAAGTTGAACTTGCGTTGTCTGTAGTCCAATATCCTTCGTTGTGAAGTTGAAATTGGCTCTGAATTTGAGAAATGTTTGTTGACAACCAGCGGTCCCTTCGTCGTGAAGTTGAACTTGCGTTGTCTGTAGTCCAATATCCTTCGTTGTGAAGTTGAAATTGGCTCTGAATTTGAGAAATGTTTGTTGACAACCAGCGGTCCCTTCGTCGTGAAGTTGAACTTGCGTTGTCTGTAGTCCAATATCCTTCGTTGTGAAGTTGAAATTGGCTCTGAATTTGAGAAATGTTTGTTGACAACCAGCGGTCCCTTCATCGTGAAGTTGAACTTGCGTTGTCTGTAGTCCAATATCCTTCGTTGTGAAGTTGAAATTGGCTCTGGGTGAAACCTGCAAAGATATGCATATATGTGATGTTACGGATGTCATGCTCTTAGGTATGCCTAAAATGCATATGCAACATATGTTATTCTGAGCTCTGGAGAGTAATCTCGATCTCCGGTGGCCTGTCGTTGTTGACTCTTGAGCTTGAAGTTCCGATCTCTGATCTTGAATTCTTCAAATGTTTGATGATTTTTTTTTTTGAAGATGCTCCTCAACCATCTCAAGCATGAGCCTTGATCGGCTTCTGGGTACCTGTACTTTTCAATGAATCTTTGTACAGTAATATGCGATTATCTTTCATAAAAATAAATAAACCATTAGGTTTAAATCTAATTCAAGATGCTCAAAAGGAATTGGAGGAAAGATGGTCTTTATTCATAAAGGAGGAGAAGAACAAATAATACATGGCAAACATTCTAGAAAACGAATACACAATGATGTGTAAATGAATGTCTTAGATCTCGATAACGTGGGCACTTCTGAGTTGAAAAGCCGTTTGGTGACTTTGAATGCAGCTTTTGCCAAAGGATCTTTGAAAAAGCGACAACATTTGGGAGGGTGCAACATTTCTCCGATTTGTTGAGTTCGTAGAAGATTCATGTGCCGGGATGTTTCCACCGTTAATATCCAAATCGCCCTTTCCGGGTTTTCAACTTGGACCCATCCTTAGTTGCAAGACGCCCTTTGCGGGTTTTCATCTTGAACCCACCTTATTTTCTCTTTTTTCCCTCTTTTTTCTTTTTTCAATTTAGGGCGCCCTTTCGGGTTTTCACCCCAAACGTTTTTTCCTTTTTTTTTTTTTTTCAACGTAGGACGCCCTCTCGGGTTTTCATCCTAAGCGAAGTATTTCTTGACTGCGTCCGAGTTAATGGGATGTGGCAGCTCAGGTCCGTCCATTTCAGCCAGGATAAGGGCTCCTCCGGAGAAAGCCTTCTTCACGACATAAGGTCCTTCCCAATTTGGCGTCCATTTTCCTCGAAAATCTTTCTGGACTGGCCAAATTCTTTTTAGCACTAGATCCCCTTCACGGAATATTCTCGGGCGCACCTTTTTGTCGTGTGCTCGGATCATTCGTTTCTGATAGATTTGACCATGATGAATGGCTTTCAGTCTTTTTTCATCTATCAGATTAAGCTGATCATATCTGGATTGTGCCCACTCTGCATCATCTAGTTTGACTTCTGACAAGACCCTGAGAGACGGAATCTCGACTTCAATGGGTAGCACTGCTTCCATTCCATAGGCTAGTGAAAATGGAGTTGCCCCAGTCGATGTACGTACCGAGGTTCGATAAGCGAACAAAGCAAAAGGCAACTTCTCATGCCAGTCTTTGTAGGTTTCAGTTGTTTTCTCCACTATCTTCTTAATATTTTTGTTTGCTGCTTCTACTGCTCCGTTCATCTTTGGTCTGTAAGCAGTGGAATTGTGATGTTTTATGTTGAACTGTTCGCAAGCAGCACTCATCATCT